ACCTCCTGCTCGCCGGATACTTTTCCGAGCGGAGTCTTCAGTTAATTTGTTTATAAAAAAGGTTATGTTCGAGGTTTAATGTTTTTTAATCTATATATATGAATTATAACTTATAATTTATTATAAATAGTTATTATATTGTAATAATTTGTGATTAACTAATTAATAATTATAATTGTTGTTATTATAATAATTGTAATTTTATTTATTGTTGATTATAAATATTATTGTTATAATGATTTATAATTTATTTTATAATTTATAATGTTAGATATATATATATATATATATATATATATGTATGTATAATATGTATATATATATATATATATATATATATACGTGTGTGTGTATGTGTGTATTACTTATAAGTTTTCAATTTAGTTCTTATTGTTTAACGCTACGAGCGCTGTTCTGTAGTAAATATGTAGTTATTATTTCACTCGCAGTCGAGATGACTTGCTAAGTGTATATAAGGTCTGAGTGTTAGAACACCAGCCAGCAGAGATTTGCCGCCTAACGGCGTGTAGGTCTCTTGCGTACTTTCAAAATAAAGGTTCTTTCAACTGAACTTTTCTACTTTTCTTTCACCCTACTACCGTAGGCCGACTAATCAATTTCTATTTTCAGGCCCCAACCCTCTGTCACGCCTCACTAACGTAAATCGTACGGGGAGTCTCTCTCTACGGGCGTTTACGTTACGTGCAGGGTCTCTGGCCCACCTATCCGATACGGGGAGTCACTCTTTACGAGTCGGATTACGGTACGGGCCCAGAGAACACATAAACCCGCCTAACGATACGGGGAGTCACTCTTAGCGAGTCGTTAGGCTACGGGTAGATCCTGCACTCTCGCTAACGTGAATCGTACGGGGAGTCACTCACTACGGGCGTTTACGTTACGTGCAGAGCCTCTGTCGTACCTACACCGATACCGGGAGTCACTCTCAGCGAGTCGGTTAAGGTACGGATACGAAGAGCACGCAAACCCGCCTAACGATACGGGGAGTCACTCTTAGCGAGTCGTTAGGCTACGGGTAACCCTCCAGCAATATTCACCAGACAATCCGTAAATACGGAAAGCTACGCTTCTCATCGTCGTCTTTACGTGACGTGACCACCAGGTGCCGCCTCACTAACGTAAACGTACGGGGAGTCACTCTTATCGAGCGTTTACGTTACGTGAAGAGCCGCAAAGCGTTTACGGCCCACCTACACCGATACCGGGAGTCACTCTCAGCGAGTCGGTTATGGTACGGATGCCGGAACCACCAGGTGACGTCATCTCACTCGCTCTTGTTTCACTCCATGCGACAGAGAGAGAGAGAGAGAGAGAGAGAGCACTTCACGTGACGTCACTCTCTCTTACTCTAATACAACACAAACTCTTCCGCGCCTGCACAAACGTAATTTTGGTAATTTGTTTACGTTTTTTTTTTCCCACCTTTGAGCCTTTTACCCTTGTGAATGGTATCAAATTTAACAATTGTTTATAATTTTAAAAAAATATCGCAAGTAAATTGAATTATTTTCAAAAATTCCAATTCAAAATAAACTAAAATTAAATTATTACCCAAAATTTCAATTAAAATTTAATTATTATCCAAAATTTCAATTCAAAATCAAAGAAAATTCAATTATTTTCAAAAAATTTCAATTTAAAATCAAATAAAATTCAATTGTTACCCAAAATGAACTGAACGGAGGGGTACAGTACGGCCAGTAGTGGGGGAACATACGGGGACGAAAATTTGCCGCTGAGCAGGTACACGGGGATGAGTTGGCGGCGAATCGTGAATCGCCCAATAAAAACTAACTAATTTATCTACATTAAAATTCTAAAATCCAGCCTAATAAACTTTCGGAACCTATAAATGTTGACTTAATTAAAATTTTGGCCTTATAATTTAATCTATAGATTTAAATTCGATTTAAAAAAAAATGTTTGGGGTAAAAAAAAAATGTTTGAATGAAAATTTCCCGTGGAATGCCCCGTATATATATATATATATATTGTATAAGTTAAATGTTTTTTTCTTATCAAATACAGAAATAAAAGAAATCGTTAAAGTAAACTAAAATTTTAATATGTTTCAGATAAAAAAAAAGAAGAAGCGGTCATTGACCATATATTGAAACAAATGTGGAAATATAAAAATTAATTATGTGAAAGAATTTACAGTTTAACACTTATTTAAAATTTCTTATCTATATACATACATATAATATATTATTGAACTGCGCATATTTATTTTATAAAAAAAGAAAATATTTGTAAATTTTATTTTATTTCTTATTTGTATATCTCATATTTGTAAGGTATATGTTTTATATATATATATAGTGTCTGGCTCGCGTCTGATCTTTATACAAGGGCGTGCATGGCGCGTGCCCTTCACATTAAACCTGGGGATTGACGATATAAAAAATTGCTCGGGGTCTCAAGTTGAGTTCTTCGCGCGCGAGTACAAAAAAAAGGTATAGATACACTCACTCACGCAGACACACACGTACGTGAATCATTATAAAATGTATATATAGTTATATACAACGTACGCACGTCAACAGTTGGATTTGTGGTCTTCTTCCAACAAATCGAGTACCAACTTTTTTAAGCACCCTAAAATGTACGCACATCATTATTTTTTTGGATTGATATATATATATACCAAAATTTTTCAGTTTTTTAAAATTATTATTAACAATTATTTATAATAATATATAATTAGCTATAACGTAATTTAATGTAGCAGGAAATAATTCGCTGTCACGGCAAATTTTTTCTATGCGTGTAGTGAAAATATATACTACACCCAGAAAAAAAGATTTCTTTAATTCAAAGAAATCAATTTCTTTGATAATTTTTTTTTTGATATAAAGAAAATTTATTTATTTCAAACAAATTATCTTTGATTAAAAAAAAAAATTATTTTCGTTTCAAATAAAATTTTTTATTTGGTTCAAATGAATTTTAAATGAATGAAAACAATGTCAAAAAAAATTATATGGTTTCTTTAAATCAAAGAAATCTTTTCTCTATATGAGTGTAGTATAAAAAATTTTAACTTCTTATTAGGTCAAAAACTGTGAACACTATAGGTGGAAAAAACAACAGTTTTTCAAAAATTTAACATTTTTCGAACTAAACTATTATTAAAATTAATTTCAATTTGTTTAGCAACACACGCATAGAAAAATTTTACTGCAGCAGCGAACTATTTGTTGTCAGAGCAAATTATACGTTAGCTAATATATATATATACTAAATTTAAACAGCTAGTTTATGTTAAAAATTCTAGATTCTAGATAGAAAACTATCAGGTTTTGAAAAAACTTATTCTTAATATTAGTATAACAGTTAACTCTTAAAATATATTAAAATATTTTCTAATTTTAAGAATAAAATAAAAGAATAAAAATTTTCGTTGCAATTTAAAATTAATAAAAGTTTAAATAACTTATTCTTTCCTCTATAAATAAGAGGAAATTTTGCATTTTCTTACCTGTGTCCTTTTCTTCAAACTCTTAAAATATGTTACAGTATTTTCTAAACGAAATATTAAAAATTTTCAATTTAGCAACTATTCTTATTTCGAGAATATACACTAAATTTAAGAATAATTAAATGACATATATCCAAATATTCGAAAATACCAAGTTTATAGTACTCTTAGTATTAGAATATCTTTACTGAAAAAACGTAACTCTAAATTTAAGTATATCTTCTTGGCGTCTATTTAAAGATATACTTTATATACTTAAATTCAGTATACACTGTTCTTAAAATAAGTATATATTCATTAATATTAGAAATATATTATTAGTATTATATTCTTCTTAAAATATATTTCTAATATTAAGAGTATATTCTTATTTTAAGAATAGTATATATATACATAATTTAAGTATATAAAATATCCTTAAATAGGCTCCAAGGAGATATATACTTAAATTTAGATTTAATTTTTTTTTTGGTGTTTCCTTTTCAAAATTGAACCTTTCTTTTAAAAACAAGAGGAAATTTTTCTTTCTCATTCGCTTATCGTCTTTTTCCCAAAATATATTATTTTTATTTTCAAAAATTCTCTTTTTATTCTCATTTATTTGAAAACAATAATACCCATCAATTCCTCTCAATTTGACAGGAAATCCTTATTGAATAAAAGGAAACAAATTGTTTTGAGTCTTAAATTTCAAAAAATCGATTTTTTTCAAAAAAATATTTTTAAAAACAAAATTCTCTAACAAAAAAAAATAAAAAGACAGTTGCGCGATAATAAAATTTGTAAAAAAAAAAGAAAGAGGAACAATTTCCGGCATAGGATCCGAGACTTTCGCTTTTTTTCCCGGTGTGTGTGTGTGTTGGCAGAAAAAAAAGAAGAAGGAAAAAAGAAGAGAGGGAGTAAAATGTAGGTCCAGTGTGGTTTGTGTGTGATCCTTTTACGTTTTTCCAAGACACACACACACACACAGAGAGTGAAATATTTACGCAATGACCGCTTTTTCGCCTTTAGAGCAGGTTCCCCTGCATCTCCCATTTTCCTGCAACAACAATCACACCGGACTCATCGTATACTCACACTATGTGTAGGACTGGTTGCTTTCTCCCCTCCACTTATTATTACCCCCTCCCTTCTCATTTCTTTTCTCTCTCTCTCTATCCTTTCCCTCTTTTTTCTCTCTTTCTCTCCTTCTCCCTCTCTTTCTTACTCATTCCCCCCCACCATAAATCTATCTCTCTTCCACTCAATGTTTCCTCTCTTCTCCCCACCCCTCATTTTCTTTCACCACCTCCCACTTTAGCACGTCACACGGAAGTGCCGTCCCACTTTGTTCTTGTTCTCTCACTTTTGTGCGCGTATCGAACGAATCACGCAACAGTCGCTCACGTTTCCAAATATATCCAATGTGGTGGGGGGGATGATGAAGAACAGGTCTCATTGGTGGGGGGTTTCCTTCCTTCTCTACTTTTGCCAACCAAGATTTCAGACTCTAAATTGTCAGTTTAGTATTGGGTTAGGTCAGCCCAAGGCAACATCGTAGTTTTTAGTTGTGTAGTTGCTCTCTAACACGTTGTTCCTATATTATTATTATCATTTTTTTTTTACTATTATAAACTCGAACTTGTTTTTTTCTTATTAAAAAATAGAACAATTTTTTTGTGAAAAAAAGAAAATTTTATTCTTAAAAAAAAAAAACTGTTCGTGATTTAAGTGAAAAAAAAATGTTTTAAATATTGTGTTTTATTTCCACGAAGAAAAAAAAAATTTTTTTCCTTTGCTTTTGGAATTTCTTTTGGTGAAAGTGATACATTTCTTGTGTTTTTTTGTGCTTGTGTTTGTATATTTATATATATACACCAAAAAAAAAGAAGAGAAATTTTCATCAATTTCTTTTTTGCATCAAGTGTGCATGGAGTATTTGTGTTTTGCAATAAAAAATTCGTAGGATGGCACTTTCTTATCTACAGGAGGCGCAAATTACCGCAGGTAATTTAATTTTAAAGTCAAATTTTTTTTTGTCTCTTCGTTAGTTTTTTCTTTCTTTACAAACGGAATTTATCACCGATTCTTTTCCTATACGAATTAGTTGAAATTTTTCTAATTCGTCATAACAAAACGTATTAATAGCAAACCGGAATTAGTCAGAATATTCTAATTCGTAACAAAAACGGAATTAGTTAAAATTTTCTAATTCGTTAAAACAAATTAAAAAATTTTCTAATTCGTACAAACGTAATTAGAAAATTTTAACTAATTCTGTTTTTAAGGAATTGAAAAATTTCAACTACTGCCGTTTTGTTATGAATTAGAAAATTTTTATTAATTCCGTTTAATTCCTAATTCGTAACCAAACAGAATTAGTAATCAAATGGAATTACTTAAAATTTACTAATTCGTATCAAAGCGAATTAGTAATATAACGGAATTAGTTAAAATTTTCTAATTCATATCAAAACGGCATGAGATGAAATTTTTCAATTCGTAAAAAAACGGAATTAGTAAAATTTTTTTCTAATTCGTAACAAAACGGAATTAGTTCAATTTTATTAATGAATCGAAAAATAGAATTTTATTTTGATAATAAATTTGTAAATTTTAACTAATTCGTATAGTGCAAAGAATTAGTGAATTTGTAGCTAATAGAAATAGTTAAAATTTACTAATTCGCAGTAAACCAGAATTAGTTGATATTCACAAATTCGTCGCAAACAGAATTAGTCGAAATTCAATAATTTAAAGCTTACAAAATAAGTTAAAATTCGCTAATTCGTGTTAAATAGAATCAGTTAAAATTCACTAATTCGTATTATTAACCAGAGTTAGTTAAAACTTAAAATTCATAAATTCATAGCAAATGGATTAAGTTAAAATTTACTAAAAAAAAAAAATAAGTAAATATAACTTTTTAGCTAATTCATTAGTAAATTTTAACATAATTTGAATAGTAAAAAGAATTTGGTTAAAAGTCACTATATACATTAAAAAAAAATTACTTTCAAATTCACTAATTCGTAGCAAACAAGAATTATAGTTAAAATTAATTAATTTTTATATCAAAAAATAATTCCTTAAAATTTATTAATAAATTATTTAGAATTGAAAATAAAAAAAAATTACACTATTTTTCCGTTTCTTTTGTTGTATATATTATAATAAAAATGGGCACGACTTTGACATGCCCTTAAGAATTATTATCATTATTTTGTTTTTAATCGCAATAGCAGTTTCTCTATTATAATTTGACAATTGTTTTCAATTTTTTTCTTTTTATAAGTACCTATATATATAAAATTTTCATAAATTCTGAGATGAATGAAAATTTCATTTGATTCAAAAATTTTGGAAAATTAAATTTTACTCTGCACTGAAAAAAAAGTTTATTTCACTTAAATAAATGGATTACTTGGCTATTATCAAGTAAATATTTATTTGTATCAAGTAATTATTTATTTGTATCAAGTAAATATTTATTTATATTAAATAATTATTTATTGTGAATTAAATGGTATTTGTTTCAAATATACAGAAATTATTGCTCCAAAAATACAGATTATTTAATTCAAAGAAAAATTATTTGATTTAAGTAAATATATTTATTTGATAATAAAGTCAAGTAACCGATTAGTTGAATCGAAATAAATTTTTTTTTCACTGTATGATTTTTTGTTTTTTTTAAATTTTTTTTATATTTAAATCCAAAAAAATAAAAATTTACAAAAGAAAATCTCGAATTTTTAGATTTCAACTAAACTTTTCTTTAATTTCCAATTTTTTTTTTTTTTTTTTGATAAAAAAACCCTTTAGATAATAATAGAAAGAAAAATTTTGTTTCCAATAAATCAAAATAATTAAAAAATCCGATTTTTTTCGCATATATATGATAAAAAAAATAAATAAAAGGTTTTCTCTCTCTCTCTCTCTCTCTGGAGAAAAATTCAAGAAATAAAAAAGTATATCTCTTCTCTCTCGAGTACAAGGAATTTGCGGCCAATTAGAAAAGGGATTGAGGGGAGGGCGGTCCTTCCTTGTTGCTGGGAAACGGTGATAAGGGAAAAAATATCGATTCGCCACAAGGCTTATTAATGGACTCAGTTTCAAAAAAAAAAAATTATATATATATTGTATACTAACCGTTTTTTCATTATAAAAATATTAATTTGATGTGTAGATATTTTTTTATCTATAAATTTAAAACAAAAACAACTAAAAAGTGAAAAAAAACTAAATGTAAACAAAAAGAAAGAAAAAAATTTTTTAGAAGATAATTTTTTTGAAGAAAATCTTTAATTTAGGAAAAATTTTTTTGTTTATATCAAAATTTAGTTTTAAGTATTACCGGTAGAGGGCACCACGTGATGGACGATTTTTCCTTGATCGGGAATTGGGACTCTTTCTTTTCTTCTTTGAATTCTGAAAAATGAAAATATATTACAAAATTAAAAATAATTTGTTAATTTTGTTTTGTTTTTTTTTTTGATTAATTCAATTTTCTAATACACTTTATTTATTTTGAATATATTTTCCTCTTAAAACAAGAGTATATTTTAAATTTGTAATTTCATTCTTTTGCCCAATTACAATATTTAAATTTACAATATATATTCTTAAATTTAGAATATTTTTTTAGAATATTATTCTTTTATATAGAATATTTTTAAAATGAGAATATATTCTTAAATCTAGAATATCTATTTTATATACTCTTACTTAAAAAAAAAGTATATTTTAAATTTAAATTCTTTGCATACTATATATATATATATATAGTATGCAAACTTATTTGAAGAGGAAAAAAAATAGTAAAAGAATTATATTTCGATATATATATTAAAATTCAAATGATTTATTCTCAATTGTAGAGGATTTTAGTTTATTCATTTATTCACTGTTATTTTAATTAAAAAAAATTTTTTTCATTAACAGAATTGTAATTTTTCTTTTTTCTTTGATTAAATTCGTTATTTATATATATGTACTCTTAATTTGAGAATATTTTTTCATTACATATTATTTGAATTAACAAAATTACAATAATTCATTATATAAACAATTAATTTGAAAATATTTTTCAATTGCGTTTAAAAAAAATTACAATTCAGTTCAATTAACATTTGTTTATTCTCAATTTGAGAATATTTTTATCAAAAGATGTTTTGGCTATCCAGTAGAAAATTATTATTATTATTATTATTATTATTATTATTATTATGTATGTATATTTATTTATTCTCAATTTGACAATATTTTTCCATTTAAATTATAAAATTACAATAATTGTATTCGTTATATTGTTATGGAAAATATTCTCAAATTTCTTTAATCAAGGAAAATTCATTTTTTTTAAAATTAGTTTATCCTCTTTTTATAAAGTTAAAATAGAATAAAAAGTTTTCAATTAAAAAGAAGAAGAAGAAGAAGAAGAAGGAGGAGAAGGAGAAAAAAAAGAAACTTTGGGAGACAATTTTTTAATGAATTTTCTAAATTCGCTTTTAATTCCAATATATCCCTTTTCTCTTATGGACATCTTAATTCCGTTAAATTAATTTTCTAATTAGATGAAGATAAATTAAGTTCCAAGAGGTTGAAGGAAAGGGAGAAGGTGGAGGAGGAGGTAAAAATATGTAAGAGGAAAAGAAGTAGAAGGAGAAGGAGGACGTGGCACGTGGGGCAGTGGGTGGCCCACGATATCATGAATGAACGCCCAGAGACGTGTGTAAAAGAATGTGAATGAAGGGGAGAGGGGGGGATGAGGTGGGAGTGAGTCGTTTCCGGGAGCAAGTCCTCCACGTGTGGGGAGAGAGAGAGAGAGAGAAAAAAAGAGAAAAAAATATATAGTATACGCGAACGAATCCTCGTAGAAGAGTAGAATGAGGAGAATTTTGCCGATCAATTGGGTGGCGCACGTGTCTCCTTTCCCTCTCAACTCCACCCGTTAAATCCCCCTTCCCTCTCACCCCTCTCTCCCCGTTCTATTCGTTCCGTTTCCCTCATCACCCTTCCCCATTTTTTTTTTTTTTTTTTTTTCACCAACAATCGTCTTGACTCCCAAACTGCTCCGCTTTCCAGTTTATATATAATCTTTCCCATTCTAATATCGATTTTTCAATTCGACATGACGACATTTACTATATATAAATTTTATACAGAAAATAGTTTTTTTACTTTCACTTTTTTTGATTTCGAAAAATTTAGAATTGCGGATTCCATATATTTCTGATGAATTTGATTTGGTATTAAGTATTATTTTCTGAATTAGTGAAATTAAAGAGGAGAGATTATTATTTTTAGGAGAGGAGAATTACTTTTTTAGAATCGCTAATTCGAGGGGAAAATTAAATCTTAAGTTAAAAATCCCCAATAGCAATGGTTTTTAGCCATTTAGCAAAATTTTTAAGGATTGTTGAATTATACTAAAGATGAAGGTTTTAGGATAGGAGAATTATTTTTGAAATTGCTAATTCGAGAGGAAAATTAACTATAGGTAGTCTTAATTCCAAATGATTTCTAAAAACCATCGCAGCAACTATTTTTAGCCCTTCGGCAAAATTTTTGATAATCAACGGAAGATTAAAGATACTACAAAAATAACGGGTCCAATATTTCTGATGAATTTGGCTATAGGTTTAGGACTCCTAAACCTAGCCTAAATTCTCTTAAATTAGGAGAATTCATCCTGTAATCGCTAATTCCAAAGGAAAAATTAATCTTGAAGATATTTTAAAGTATTTATAAATTTGGGTTCTTTAAACAAATCCTCACTGCTAGAAATGTTGCAGATAATCCAAAAGATGTATACCAGGACCGTCGGATTTTGAAAATTATGATAATAATGCCCCAGAGGTGTTCGTAGATATCCTAATTTAATTTGTAGCAGTGAGAATTTGTTTAAGAATCTTCAATATAAGTTTGTTAATGTTTCCTTTGGAATTAGCAAAGGGTCCAACTAACTAATTAATTCTATATGATACTCCTTAATCCCCTATAAATCCAAGTCCTAACGAAGATGGTATTAATGAATAGTCCAATTTTGCTAATCAATTCAGATTCTAGGGATGTAGATTTACAAACTGTATTTAATTATTAACTAACAAAACAATTCCATTTGTCATTTTTCAGGTCTCTTACCCGGTCAACATCTCGACATGAAGCAAGAAACTGAAAAGCAACCACCATCACCGCCATTGAATAATAACAGTGCTGCGACACTATTCTCTGGAATGGGTGCAGCCGCCGCTGGTCTATCAATGTTAACACCACAACAATTATTGGCAGCAAGTCGAACCGCTGCATTAATGGCAGCCGGAATTCCCGTTTCTTTACATGCAACATTGGCAGCAAGTCCCGCACTCTATAGGCATCATCAAACATTATTTGGTGGTTGGTTACCACCACCAGGAAATGGTACCGGTGGTTCATCACCACCATCACCACTACACGCAACATCAGGTTCAATATCACCAGCCTTAAGTACAAAATCATCATCACGTGGACGAAATAATCATTCAAATATCATGAATAACAATAATAACAACAATAATATAGTGAGCAGTAGCGTTGATCGTATAACAAAAAAACAACAACCCCTAAAGAGAAAACTTAACAATACAATGGGAAAGACAACAAAAATTGATAGTATTCAATTACCACTTGATGGCGCAGCACCATTAAGTCCACCTTCGTCAATTAGTCCCGAGGCAGTTAAGGATAGTAGGGATAAAGTATTTACATGTGAAGTTTGTTCACGTTCATTTGGCTATAAACACGTTTTGCAGAATCATGAGAGAACTCATACAGGAGAAAAACCATTTGAATGTCCCGAGTGCCACAAACGGTAAGTTAGACAACTTATACTTCTTCAATTATCCTAATACCTTTGGAATTATTTTACAAAACAGAAATTTAATTTCCCTTTTAAATTTTTGTTACAGATTTACGAGGGACCATCACCTAAAAACTCACATGAGACTGCACACCGGCGAAAAACCCTATCACTGTAGCCATTGTGATCGTCAATTTGTGCAAGTTGCAAATCTACGTCGTCATTTACGCGTACACACTGGCGAACGTCCCTATGCATGTGAATTGTGTTCAGCAAAATTCAGCGATTCAAATCAATTGAAGGCACATTTATTAATTCACAAGGGTGAAAAACCCTTTGAATGTGAACATTGTCGAATGCGTTTTCGTCGAAGGCATCATTTAATGCATCACAAATGTGGCCTTGCCGGTTCAATAACAACTGCAAGTAGTAATGCATCGTCAACACGTTCACAAATTGGTTCACCATCATTGGCAAGCGATGATCTTGATGAGGACATTGACATTGACATTGACGTTGATATGCGACTAAATCATCATTATCAACAGCAACAAAATGAAAATGAAATTAATTCACAACGTAAAATGAGAATACCAACAACCGTCCAATTACATCGTCCATTAACAAGTCCAATTATTAAATCACAAATTGCCTCACTTACATTGCCATTGAATTTATCAAATATTCCAAATAATTTACCTGAACAAACTGAACCCGAGGATCTTTCAATGTCAACTGGTATGCATCGTTCAAATTCACACAGTGGCGGTGATTCACCATTAAGTCAAAGTCCCAGTAGTGATCATCATCAAGATATTGATGATGTTAATGATAATAATGATAATGATGACGCTAACGATGTTAAACTCAATATATCAGTGGCTAGTCCAAGTACTTTATTCCTTCAAAAATCATCATCCTAACGATGATACTATCCAAATCTGATTCAATAACTTTTATCAACAAAATGTTATTCTTGGAATCGTTATTAAAAAAAAAACAGACGCAGCTCTTGATGAGTATGCAAATTTTTTTTTTGCTGTATCTCGATATTTTAAATATCCGTGAGGGGGAAAAATTCTCCCTTCAAAAATCAATAAACATTGTTTTTAATTTTGAATTCAAATAGAAATTTTGATTCAAAAAAGAAAGTTTTGATTCAAAAAAGAAATTTTTATTCAAAAAATTTGAAAATTAATGTTTAATGAAGCTAAAGATATGTCTATATAAGTTATTGTCGAATCTAGTAGAAATTTAATTGATCGAAAAAAAAGAGAGGAGAGAAAGGGAGAAAATCATCGGTGATTAAGGAAATTCAATGCAAGAAGATGATTTCAAAATTAAATTATATTTCTTGGAATTAATCAATTGGATGAATTGGATCAATAGAATCAATTATTTTTCAAATTCATTGAATTGTGAGGAATTAATTCCAAAAAAGTACATCGATCAATCATTAAATTGAAAAATTCAATTAGTTTCAATCATTTGGATTAATCTATCGAATAATTCTCGATCAATACTGATCAATAATTTCAATTTTATTGATTGGATTTTTTTTTACTAATTTTTTGAAATTAAAATCACGCTTGCTAGATTCTGTCAAATAATTCTATTGACTGACATAGTCCAATTAATTAGATAATCGATCCAATAAGTTGGATTGTTATCCAATTAATCGGATTATGGATCCAACTAATTGGATTATTGATCCAATTAATTGGATAATGGAGCTTATAAATGAAAATATTTAAAAAAAAACGAATTCGATTATATATTCAAATAATTGGATATTAAATTCAGTTAATTCGATTTTTGATTTAAAAAAAAATTGGATATTAAATCCAGTTTATTGGAACGTTAATTCAATTCGTTTGGTAAATAAATCCAATTAATTGAATATAATATCCAATTAAATCTGCTCCTAATCCAATGAAAAAAAATCGATTGTATTGAATTCGATTGATCGATATCACAATGATTTTTTTGCTACAAATTTAAAATATCAATACAAAATATGAAATAATAATAATAATAATAATTAGTATTATTATAAAAATAATTTTTTATTAAAACCAAATTGTTTTTCTAAAATTACATTTATGGTTCTTTTAAAAAAATTTATAAATTATTTCATATTTTTGTTTTCTTTTAATTTTTCGTTTAAAAAAAAATTCCTCACTTTTTTCTTTTAGTTTTAGGTTATGTTTGGCATTGAATCTCCTTAAATCGAAAATTAAATTATCTATGTCGATTCTGAAAAAAAAATTTCGTTGAATTAATCAAAAATAATTTTTTTCCGTTAAAACAATATAATTGTTATTTGAGTGAATTTTTTTTTGTTGTTATTGTAAGAGAAATTAGAAAAAAAAAAAAAAAATGTGGAGAAAATGTTAACGCAAGACACTGTAATTTATTATTATTAAGGTGCAAACATTTTCCAATATTATATTTTTACCTCTTTTTATTATAAATAATAATAATAATTTATTAAACATAATAAATAAAACAAAAAAAATATATATATATTTAAAATATTATCATTCAATATTATTCAATAGTATAAATTTTGTACAAATTGAATAATATTCAATAATATTCATTCTAAAAGGAAAAAAAAAAAAAAAAAATATTCATTCCGTTCAAATTTTTTGACACATTCAACGAAAGAGGGTACAAATTCTGACCTTAATAGTTAATTAAAAGAAAAAAAAAAAAAAAAAAATTGGAATAATATTTTTATTACTGATTGAAAAAACAGATGATGATGATGATGATGATGATGATGATAATGAAAAAGAAATAACAAAAATACGCCAAAAATTTTTTCGAATTATTTGGAAAAAAATATTTTTAATTATCAATTTTTTTAAAACTATTTTTAAAAAAAATTCCGAAATTTCGGAAAAATTAAAAAAAAATCAATTTTTAAAATTAGTTTTACGTAAAATATTATAATAAAAATAATTTTTTCCACAGTGCACAACTACTGATATTTTATAAGAAAAAAATTGATGTTTTAATATTAAAAGGAAAAAAAGGACAAATTTTTGCTCAAATAGTCCAGTTTTGTGCACTAGACGAAAATAAAGAAAAAAAAAATACTTTGAAGGACACTTGTATACTATAAAAAAAAAAAAAAAAAAAAAAAAAAAAAAAAATGAAACTAACTCTACCTCACCAGACATCTAAATATGTATATCTCAAACACAAGACTGATTTTAAATAGTATTCTTATAAGTGTAAGAAGAAATAAAAAAAAATAATAATAAATAAAGCGGAACAAAAACCAAGAGTATTGGGAAAAATTAAAAAAAAAAATTCACAACATATATTAAATAAAAACTGTCTTGTTTTTTTCATTATAAGTTATATTCTGTAAGTAGTCGTGTAATAATCATCATTATGTAGAAATTATCGAAAAAAAAAAAAAATGCAACGCAATCAATGTCGTGTGAGAATCGAGAGTAAACAGAAATTTTTTGCGCGAGTGGCTGTTAAAAAAAAAAAATTAAGTGAAAATTTTTAAATAATTTTCAATGAATTTTTCTTTAATAAAATGAAAAAAAAATTTAAATAAACAAAACTTTATATATATAAAAAAAAAATGTAAATATATATCTATTAAGGGTTAGTGAATAATTTATTATAAGTTAAAACTCTCGATTGTTCCTTCAATGTCATGTGGACTTAATAATATTGTATAATTGAATGTTTCACACGAAGTCGACTGCTCTGTCAATCTATTTTTATTATTAAAATTCGCTATTTAATCGTTAATTTGACTGGATTTTATTTATTTTATAAACAAATTCCTTTTCTCTTTCCTTCCTTCAAAAACCCTTTTTTTCAATTTTTAATAATTATAATAGAAAAAATAATAATTTAATTCATATTTTATTTTTTAATTATATATTACAGTAGAAAAAAATCAATTTAATTTTTTAATTTATGAATTAAAATTAGAAATTATTTTATTAAGGTATTATCCATTAGTCAAGAGAATTAGAATTAAAATTATCGTTAAAATTATCAGAAAGATTCTGAGGAATTCGAATTATTATCAATTGGAATTAGAATTATTATTATTGAAAATACCAAAAAGAATCAGAGGCATGAGAATTTCGAATTAGAATTATCAATTATATCATTGGAATTATTAGAAAGAAACAAAGGAATTTAAATTTCGAATTAGAATTATCAGAGAAGCGAACGATATCGAATTGGAAATGGAAAAAGTAAGAATCATTGGAATTACCATAGGAATTAGTAGAGGAATAGGAATTACGAATGAGAATCGTAGAATAATTAGGAAATAGGAATTTTTGTTGAATAGGGGAATTAGAATTATCCTTGGAATTATCATAAAGAGAAGGAATTTGAATGAAATGAAATTGGAATTTCAAATGGAATTATTATTTTCAAATTGGAATTATCACTATTTTACCTATATAGAATTATCAAGATAAAGCGGAGAAATTTAAATTCCGAGTGGAAGAAATTAAATTATTTTGTGGAATTGGAGGGAATGAAATCGGATGAATTAGATTTTTAATATTGGAAATACCAAAAAGAAGCAAAGGAATGAGAATTTAGATTGGGAGAATTAGAATCAAATTATTAGAATTATTATTCCAATGATGAGGAATTTATATTTTGAATTTTAGAGAATTATAGAATTATCAGTAAAGAATTATTCGGGTAACAGTAAATTTCAAATTGACATTAAAAGGAATTAAAGCGCAGAGAAGAAGGAAGAATTCGAATTTTGAAAGGGAGAATTAAAATTATCAATGGAATTAATAATTCCACTGATGGCCATTGAAGCGCCATTATTGGGCCGAAATTCGTTTCATCATTGGCAAAAAGAATTTATACTGTAAAAGATTCAAGTTAATTTAAGTTACTTCAAGATAATTCAAGTTAATTCAAAATAATTCATAGTATTTGGAGATAATTCAAACTAATTCGAGATAATGCAAACTCATTCAAGATAATTGTAGATAATTAAATGTAATTCGAGATAATTCAAGTTAGTTCAAAATAATTCCAACTAATTCGAGATAATTCTAGATAATTAAAAGAAATTCAAGTTAGTTCAAGTTAATTCAAGATAATTCATAGTAATTCGAGATAATTCAAAGTATTTCAGATCATTCAAAGTAATTCAAGATAATTCAAGTTAATTCAAAATAATTCATAGTATTTGGAGATAATTCAAACTAATTCGAGATAATTCTAGATAATTAAAAGTAATTTGAGATAATTCAAAGTAATTCGAGATAATGCAAACTAATTCGAGATAATTCTAGATAATTAAAAGTAATTCAAGTTAATTCGTGATAATTCAAGTTAATTCAAAATAATTCATAGTAATTCGAGATAATACAAACTAATTTGAGATATTTCTAGATAATTGAAAGTAATTCGAGGTAATTCAAAGTAATTCAAAGTAATGCAAAGTAATTCAAGTTAATTCATAGCAATACGAGATAATTCAAAATAGTGCAAATTAATTCAAGGTAATTCATGATAATTCAAGTTAATTCAGGATAATTCAAGGTAATTCATGATAATTCAAATTAATTCAGGATGATTCATATACTTAAAGTTAATTCAAGATAATTCATAGAAATTCGAGATAATTCAAAGTAATTCAAGGTAATTCATGATAATTCATAATACTTGATATAATTCAGGATAATTCATATACTTCAAGTTAATTTAAGTTATCTAGTGAGGATTTATTCAATATAATTCAAGTTAATTTAAATTAATTTAAGTTAAATCAAGTTGGGCCGGATTGGCAGTCCTGGAATTTCGTACTTGAAATTACTTGCGCACCTATATGAAAATCTCATTTATACAATGAAGATCTCTAAAAAAAAATATAAGATAAATCCTCACAGAGGGAATTCTCAATAGAACGGATGACATTATTCGTTTAAAATACACACCTCTAAGGCAAAAGATTACTTGACATTGAAGGATCAATTAAACGCAATTATACTTGAATCAAATACAGTAAAAGTTTTTTCCTTTCTATATTTCCAGATGAGTATCTGTACACAATAAAAAGAGGTGCCTATACAATGAAAACTATATAGATTGGAGAGAAAGAGCGGGTGGTGCAGAGTATTTAAGGGTGTATATGAAGGGATGTGCGGGGGGATAAGGAAGACTATAAAGTACAAGGGGGAGATGAAATAAAATAAAAAAATATATATATATATATATCGCCCCCTGAGTCCTTGTGATACGCGACCTGCATTTCAGCTGCATGAGTGAATTGGAGTTTCCAAAATCTAGGATTCCATTACGTGCGTGCGCTGCGCGAGTGTTTGTGTGCCGCCAGACAAAGAGTGCGTCAAGCGTGAAGGTGCGTGTGGTTCCAATGGTTGTTGGTCCACTGAGTGGAGGAAGCAAAAAAAAAAAAAAAAAAAAAAAAGAAAAGAAAAAAAAGGAGGGTTCAACCCCGTGCGTGGCACAGTGACACATTATGCCATAATGTGGGGGCACGTGGCAGATGCAACAGATCGCAGTCGTGGCACTCGCGACGACGACACTACGTCTTTCTTTGCATTCAAAACCATATATATATATATATAAACGGATCTTCAAATTGAACCTAAATCTCGAAAAATAGCCTCAGAGAATGAATTATCTTTATTCAAGGTCGATATTTATTTGGAATGAAAAAAAACAAGAAGTGGGTCACACTATAAATTCCTTTGCGACATTTATATTAAAAAAACTTAAATATATAACGCATTTATATGTATATATTTAATTTTAATATACATTAATTTAAAAGTATCAAATTGATACAAAATTGATATAAAAAGAATCAATTTAAGTTTCCATAATTTGTCATTCTGTTGGAAACTAATTTTTTATAACTTTTGAATAACGTTTATACTTATCGATATTCTTACCGATGAGGCCTAAAAGGTTATACATAAAAATTGGACCAAATTTAAAATTAGGTCAATGAACGAATAAATATGTATGTTAATAAAAATTAGAATTACATCCAATGAAGATTAAGTGAAGAGAGTTAGAAATTTTTAAATATTTCTTATAAAAAATAACATTACCAATTCTATAAATTAATTATAACACATAAAAACTACTTTTTTAATAAAAATAGAAGAGAGAAAATTTCTCATTTGATAAAACTAATGTCTCCTTTCGTTTTTCTTTTTTTAGAAAAATTGCCTAAAGTAATTTGGTGGATCCTTTTAAAATTTAAAAGGTAGAAAAAGAAAGAGAAAAGAAAAAAGGGAGCGCTGACTGAGTGAGGTAATAAGCTCCTCGGAAAGCCGACCGACTCGAAACTTAATTATATAGCACACGCCAAATAAATGGGCCTCTTCCCCCAAGAGAGTCAAATGCTTCAATCCTGCCTCGTGCAGAACATCCTGCCAATGCCATATGGCGAATCCTTTTGGCCTCTTCTTAAAATCCTCAAGGATCTATATTATTTCTATAGAGGATGTCCTTCAAAATCTCTCTCTCTCTCTCTCTCTCGCTCTCTTTCCCGTTGCCTGTCATGTCTTCTACTTTGCAAAAACGACAGGTGCTTTTGAATGTCTCGACTAATACCTAGCTCTAATATTAACTATTTTTCACCATTTATCACATCCATTATGAACACATGTATGTGTATATCTAAAACGGTATCTTCCACAGTTTACGCATGTTTTGATTTTAAATTTAAAAAAAAAGAAAATTTCAAATTAATGTTTTCAAAATAAATTTTTTGGAGATGTTCTATTTATGTTATTATTTTCATTAAGAATATAGGGACAAGAATATTTTGAAAGAAGAGGGATTCGTATCAAACTAGAGTAAGTATGTATGAATTACTGCTGATGCGCCAATTACTGCGATTTTTATAAAAATAAGTAAAACTTAGTAATTGAAAACATAAAACTGTTTCAAAATGACTTTAAAACTTATTCCAAATGATATTTGATATTATATCCACTAATGATGCATATTTCGACTATTATCAAATTATTTATTCAAGTTACAATTGAACCTATCACAGTAATTAGAGCATGCGTATATTTTTCGCATTCTGCTATTACTGTGGTCTATCCAGTCATCCTAACCTCTGAATCAACACTTTTAGCGTTGCAGTAATTATGGTCCACATCAGTC